TGTTGTTGTTGTTGTTGTTGTTGTTGCTGCTGATGATGATGATGGTGATGATGATGCTGCTGCTGCTGTTGTTGTTGCTGCTGCTGCTGTTGCTGTTGCTGGTGTTGGTGCTGGTGCTGATGTTGCTGATGTTGCTGCTGCTGCTGCGGCGGCGGCGGCTGGTGTTGTCTTTGTTGCTGAATTTGTGTCGTTTTATTTTGGTTCGATTTACGTATTTTTCTTTGAATAACGGTTTGTTGTCCTGTAGCCGAACCGCTATTTACGGGCTTTAATAGTTGTTGTTGTTGTTGTTGCAATTGCAATAATTGTTGCTGAGCTATTACTGACATTTGATTGCCAACGAAAGTGTTCGCAATTGATGAGCCGCCGCCGACGCTATTAACATTTGATACCACTTGCTGTGATGGAACCATTGTGGATGTTCTAGGGATCTTAGCCAAAGGTGGCGCTTCACTATTAATGCTTAATCGTCTGCTTAAAGCTGCCATTGCTTCCCTATGTTTCTCACTGGCCGCATTTGAAGACGTTAAGGGCGGTTTAGGTTGCATAGACTTACGTCTTTGATTGATTAGTTTTTGACGTGCTGCCTTCGTTGCTCCTGTCCCACCATCTGCACCCGTTGGCGGACACTCATATTTATCTCTTTGCGGTAATGTTAATGCACTAGGCAAAGTAATTATGCTGCCCTGCTGTTTTCTGCCGCTTGCAAAATTTGTAGATTTCGGTTTACTTAAGGCATGTTGTTGTTGTTGTTGTTGTTGTTGAGCGGTTGACGTAGTTTTTAACGAGTTTGTTGATAAATTATTCATCGCTGATATTGGCGGTGTTTGCGTGAATATATGCGGATGCACTGCTGGATCGGTAGCGGGTGTTTTTATAATAAGATACTTATTACCCCGACTATCTGTACCGATTTGTTTATTCTTTGAATTGCCAGCGCACGTTGACTTTGCTAAACGTTGCGAACTATTCGTTGATGGATTGATAGGTAATTTTTGTTTTTGCTGAATGACCCCGGATGAAGGAGATGCCGCGATTAAAGGTGGACCCTGTATAATTTGCTGGTGTATAACTTTTGCATTTTCCGATCTACTATTCTGCATGGAATCTTCCGTAACAGCTGTAAGAGTTGTCGGCGTTGCCTGCAAATCGAAATAATTGCAAACAATTAAGTTGCGTCCGTAAATGAAAAAATGCAAAAATTGATTGATTTGTCGCGATTACTCATAAATTTTGATTTCATTTCAATTTCGTTCCAATGTTACAATGAAACGAATTGAAAATAATTTAATCACTTCTAGCTTCTACTATTTATTGATTAGTAGTTCAGTAGTAAGTTTCAAAATTTTTCAATTTTGAAAAATAAATTATGAAATCAAAAAGGGGAAAAGACGACAGACGACACTACTTGACAACAAACATTTAATTCTGATTTGAAGCATTTTGCCAGCTCTAAGCAAGCAGCAAATGCAGCCTCTAAAGATAGCAAAATAAATCCAATCAGCGATGTACTGGTCCAGAGTCAGTGGATCAGTTGATAACATGTTGATTACCTCTCTTCCACACATTTCGATGCCGGGACTTTTAAATTGCCAGCCAATTGATAGAACATTTGATTTGCAAAAATGAAAATGCAAATGCAGCTTATGGAGAACGCTGCTGAAAGCAACAAATTTTGCATAAACAACTAATCGACTAATCGACTTTATATATATGTATATATATATATAATATATTAGCATGTGTTGCAAATTCAATTCTTAGGAATAGAATAGAACTCGGGGGGCTAATAAAGATTTTTGCATCGGTAGTAAAATTGCAAAAAAAAAAACATGTGATATAAAAATGTGTGTTGATGTATGTTATGTTTATGTTTATATATTTTTTACAAAAATTGTATAATGTAATTAACAAAACTTACCGTCTGTATTAACTCTTGCAGCAACTGATCGTTATTTAATAGTGCAGGCAAATCGTATATCTCACCACTTGAAGCTATAATAGTTGCTGTTGGATTGTTGTTAGTTTTCACTTGATTAGTGGCGTTATAGTCTAACCTTTTTAATGGAGGTGGTCCTGGCGCGTTAGATGACGCGGAGGTCATCGGTTTCGGACGCTCAATAATGAACGATGTAATATTATCTTCAATCGACATTTTTCGTTTAACCGCCGTAAGGGGACTTTTATAAGGTACACGTTTAGTGGTGGTAGGATATGCTGCCGTATTAGGCGGCTGAGATGTATCCCGATTTGAACGCACTTTATCTGAAATATCGGCCGCTGGTAGCGTTAATTTGCGTTCATTTGTTCTTCGAACCGTTTTAATGGCAGGTATAACGGCTTCAACATCCAATGCGTATGTCTTGCATCCAACGCTTTCGCTATTTTTTAAATTATCTTTACAAACGGTTTTACGACGCGATTCCATGACCACACGACTGCCTGGCGGTGCTGTAATTTGCTGTGATTGCATATTATATTGTATATCCTTCGGTTTCGATATAATCACTTCTTGTACTATCTCCTCTTGCATAGGCTGCGATATATTCATCAAAGCGTTCGCGTTATGGGCCTCAATAAAATCGCAATCATTTTGCTGTAAATTATTATCATGAACTTCTTCAATAATATTGTTCAGGGCTTCTTCCGTGCTAATAATTTCCTCTACCACTTGTTCGCGTTGATGTTCTTGGCTGTTAACAATACTGTCAAATTCTATTAAGAATTCCGCATCCAATTGCGTATTATTATCGGCATCTTCATTATTATTCTCCATTGATTGCGGTGTCTTTATTACTAAAAATCCCGGCTCAACTATAGGCTCGTTTTCCGTGCGAACGTTTGTTGGCATTATTTCACTTTGGACGACCTCTTCTCTACCGGGTGGAGATATAATAACCATTTCTGACGACAGCGGACTGCAAAGAGATTTATCACTAATGTGTGGTTTATTTGGAATAACAGCCTGCAACAGTTCAGTAGCCCGTATTTCTTGATTAAGAAATTCATTATCAGATCTTGGTAGGGGTGAGTTTAATGTCTGCTGCATATCAGAAATGTCGGTTTCTTTAACAATTGTGTCATCAACTTCTGGTGTAAAAACTATAAGAGATGTTGTCGCTTGCTCGGACGATTCGTTGTTATTACGCACATTGCTTGAAACTTCTCTCAGCATTTTTTCATCGTCGTTTTGAATTTCGTTTGTCGAAGACGGTTCGGTAATATTTTTAATCGAAAATAATTTATTATTCTCATCCTCAATAGATTGGGGACTACTACTTTCATGAATGACGGTATGATCTGCAAGCATTAGTAAATCTTTATTAACTTCTTCTTGGGTATTCTCAACATTATGATGATGACGAAAATTTGAAATATTTTCACATTCAGTTAGATTTTGTGTACGGACAGGTGCTTCATGCTCCGAGAGCGTTATCGAATCTTTGTTGCTTTCCAAAATAATAGGTTTTGTATCATGATGATGTGAAAAATGGGAAATTGCCTCACTTTCATTTGTAGAGTGATCGAGGCAATGGGTGTTGGCTGGGGCGGCTACATGATCTTCTGGCGTTATTCGATTTTTGCTACTTTCTTGAAGGTGTTTCATATCTTGATCCGGTAAATGTGAAAGGCTTCGACTATTCGCAGCATCTTGATCCGTACAATGAACGTTTCTATGACCCCCCTCCTCGTTTTCGTCCTCGTCCACCTCCCCCTCCTCTTCCTCCTCCTCCTCCTCCTCGATTTTTGCATCTATGCGGATTTCTTGAGAAGGTTTACTAATATGAGCTGGAATATTTGTAATATTTTCATCGTTCGGCGAACCTTCGTATGTGTAAACAATAGTTTCGGCTGCTGCTACGCATTCAGAGCCGTCAATAGCATTTCCTACGGCTAAAATGTGTTCCTCATTAAGTTTTCGCTTTTTGGCGAGACTAACCTCAATCTCTTGCCACATCTTGGGAAAGTTTTTAGTAACAGTCTCTTGATTTTTTGATACCTGTAAATCTTTAATAAATGATGATTTCATCTTTACCTCGTCTTTATCTTCACTATCGATACTTTTTCTCTTTTTTTGGATTTTTGATGATTCGTCCACATCTTTTAATATTTTTTCGATTTTCTCTTGTTTCGATCTTTGCTCGCTTCCCACATCAGAAATTCGTTTCATGTCCTCCGGTTCCGTAATTTTCTTTAAACTTTCACTTTCTTCTAATGGAAAACTTTCTAATTGTTTATTTAGAGCGTTTACTTTTTCAATCCATATATTAACTGATGGTTTTAATATATCTGCCGCCTGTGAGTCCTTTACGCCTGATGAACATGATTCTGTTTTCGGTTCATTGCTTTTTTTCTCTGGAGAGTTTCCTCCTAATTCATTCGTTCTAAGCTTCAAAATTTCATTATTTATTTTTGTACCATTTTGCAAAACGTCGCTTACAAAATTTTCTAATGATTTTTCCGCCGAAATGTATGTTTTCTCTTCATTTTTTTCTAACTCTAACTCTAACTCTTCATCTTCGTGGTCATCCTTTCGCAGATCATGGGGCAAATCTTTGGCGATTGGAGAATCCAAAACACTATCTTCTTTATCAATTTCATCGTCTATATTATTATTATTATTTCCAGTATTATCGGTCACCACCAACTCATCGACGGAAGTAATTTCATCAATGGTTGGTTCCTCATTCTTAGTACTTTCTTTCAACTGAAATTGTTCCAATTTCTCTGCATTTTGAATATTGATCAGAGTTTTTTCCTTTTCTTCTTTCGTTTCCGAGCTTTTTGTCTCTTCGTCCTTCTCCTTTTCTGGTATATCGTTAACATCCAAATTTTCTTTTTTCTTATCGGAATTATCATTAAATTCGACGCTTTTTTCCACCGGGATGCTATGTTCACTCTCCTTTTGTTGTAAATGCCAAGCTTTACCATAGAAATGCGATTTTTTCCAATCGAATGTGCTAACGTCCTCTTTCGAAAATTCACCGCCACTTCGCCTAGGTGTTATTTTAATGTGTGCTCGTCTTTTACTTAAACGACCACTTGGAACTTCCATCTCTCTGGTGTTAAACATTTCTGGATTGATATTTTTAACATGAACGTCGCCAAATGGGGCAGACACTGGCGCATCAAACGGTTTATTCGCTTCCGCAGAAAGATTTAAATCATCCATTTTTTCTATGGTAGATCGACGTGCTGGTGCTAGTGATGATGATGATGGTGGTGGTGGTGGTGGTGGTGGTGGTGGTGGTGGTGGTGGTGGTGGCGGGGGTGGTGGTGGTGGTGGTGGTGGTGGTGGCGGTGGTGGTGGTGGTGGTGGTGGTGGTGGTGGTGGCGGTGGTGGTGGTGGTGGTATTATTTTCATTTTTGGACTGATTAATTCTTTTGCGGTAATTTCAGTTACAAAGTCAGCCGTCTCCCTACATAAGCCCTCTGATCCATCTAAATTGTCTAAATTTATATAAATCTCTTTTCTGATTACTCCTCCAGGGTTTTTTATTTCATTGGCTTCCAACGCAAATTGATTTTCATTTGATTCAAATAAACCGTCGGCAGTTTCTTCTATCGCGTTTCTATGATTCTCTGCGGGAAATTTTTGTTCAATGGTATTATCTTCCGTTGCTTCAAGTTGTAAACTTTCTTTGGTTGTAATTACTACCTCACCTTCGTCTCCTTGCAATGTCAATACATTTTCTTGTTCCTCCTCAATTTTCTTTTCATTTCGCAGCAAGTCGAACGTTTCGCTCCGATATTTATCGTTTCGTATTTCATTTCTTTGCTTTTCCAAAACTTGTTGCTGCCGCTGCTGCTGCTGCTGCTGCTGCTGTTCCTGCTCTACTTTTTCATCGTTGCCTGCTAAGTCTGATATCTCTTGCTGGTTTGTCCCCGTTGCCCCTTGATTTGTTATCAAATCTAATGCCTCTTGCTGATATTGTTCACTTACTTTCTCATTTATTATCACTTGCGATACTTCCTCTACCCGAAATACCTCGTGTGTCTTCTCATTTCTTGGCAGCGCCAATGTATCTTCATCACATATCTTGTTGGCCTTTTCATTAGTCGATATTTGTGAGACCTCTTGTATTCTTTCGTTTTTTGAAGTCTCCGAAGGCCTTCGTTGCGGATACTCGTTATCTACAGATTCATTTCTCTCCAATCGAAGATCCTCTTCTTCGTGGTCGTCAATTGAAGGCTGATGCATCGTTACATCATTATTGTTGTTATACATAAAGGTTGGCAAACGCTCTTCATCTAACATGGAAGCTGGTGATCCGAATTCCGCTTCTGTATCCGATGTGGCTAAAGAACTATTTTCATCAGTCGGAGTTTCAGAAATCAAACGATTCCTCTGCTCATCGCTCATTGCAGAAGGCAATTCTTCTTCAAATACCTGTTGCTGAAGTTGTTGTTGATCTTCACAAATATTTGCATCTTCATGAGCTTTATCAATTTCTTCTGCGTCCGAATTATTTTCACTGTTACCGTTTTCAGGGGTTCCGATGAAATTTTCTTTCTCAAGAGTTTCGTTATTAGTGATAGCAGTAAGATTTTTGGGAGTTTCCATACGTTGCCCTTCCTGCGCCTCTTCAATGAAATTTTCAGATTGTTCCTTTCCTCCCATTTCTGATGCAACCTTAGGTTCCGGAGAATTAAGAATTTCTACCACATCCTCTTCTTCTTCCTCCTCCTCCTCCTCCTCCTCTTCTTCTTGTTCTCTCTCATTAATATTCGACCTCTGATCCATTATTTTATTGGCTGAAGACTCTTCTTCATGACTTTCATCCATGATTTCTACAACATTTTCGACTTCAGTCACGCCCCGTTGTTCCATTGATTCTTGTTCATTGATCTTATCGTCAGTATCATTTAAATCAACTACTACAACTTCTTGCCTTTCGTCTTGATTTGTGCTTGAAGACAAAACATCTTTAGAGGTTTCTGTTGCTATGTTCATTGACGTTTGCATTTCATTGTACCCGAGTTCTTCAAAACGCGAACGGTTACGTGATTTGAAGATTCGTTTACCGCGTTCCTTAATAGGTAGACCCTTAACTGCCATCTCTTCTTCAAGCGGCATAGTATTTATGGCAATTGTTGGTGAAGACGTTATTGGTGTAGATGTTGTTGGTGCCGTTGTTGATACTATAGCAGTTGTTAATAAAGCAGTTGTCGTTGGTGCGGCAATTGCTGGCGTAGTAGTTGCTAATGCAGCAGTTGCTAATGTAGCAATTGCTGATGTAGTAGTAGCTGCTGCAGTGACAATTGCTGATGTTGCCGTTACCGGTGTAGCAAGTGTTGGTAAAGCAATTATTGATGTAACATTTGTTAGCCTAGAAGTTATCGGTAACTCAGTTTCTTCTAACAAAGAATCAATCTCTGCCACCAATTGGCTATGAGTTTTACAGGTTTCCTCATTCCTTTTATTTATTTCTCCAGCTTTTCTCAAGATGTCCTCCTCGTCTTCGATCACCACCAAGTTTTTGTCAGTTGGTAAATGTTTCTTTTTAAAAGGAGTCATTGAGGTGCAACCTTCTTCTTCTTCTTGAAAATCAAAACAAGATAGAATGTCCTCCGAAGTTCGTGAATCTTTACGATGATTAGGATTGTTCTCTCCCGTCGAGTGTGATTTAAGGGAACTCGATGATGTAGGTTGAAAACTTTCTTCGCTATCCGCTACTACGTCGTCATCTGGTATAGTAATCACTGTACCGCTGGGTTCATCATCAATGATTTCCACCAAAGATGAGTTGGAACAATTACTGCTATCCACATTTACTATAATTTGTGGAGAATTATCTTTCATTTCCACATTCACGTTTGTCACTGTTTCATATCCTGTTTGCGTATTAAAATCGCTGTTAAAATCCTGCAATACAACGTCGCGACGGTCTTTTTTCGGTATATTACGTATGCGACCCGATGTCTTTGTATCTACCACCGTTCTATTGGGGAGGACGGAAATAGATTGAGGAGGCGTTGGTTGACTGATTTGAGGAGTCGGTTCATCTCCTTCGTCACTCCACTCGTCCCATATTTGTCTACATAAATCTTCACCATTAGTTTTAGGTTTGGGCGGGAGTGCCGGTGCCACACTTTCTGTTGCCCTTTTTCTTGCTTCTTCTTGCTTATTTCTTTCCTTTCTTTGTTCTTCTTCAAACGGATCGATACGATCATTTTCGTAATTTTTCCGTAAAGCCAATGCAGTAAAAGAAATTTTTTTAGGTAAAGAGTTGATAGCCGCTGGCGAATAATCTATTTGCGGCTTTGGTGAAATATTGGAACCGTTTGCTTTATGAGCCATCGATTTTCTATTCGTTAAACTTTTTAATGGGATACTACGGTTCCAGGAGCTTGTTATTAATTCCGCTTCTTCCTCATCCTCTGACTCGGCGCTAAAGCTTACTTCAGACTTTGACGCCGCCACATGATTCGGTTGGTACAATGTTTTCAAGGCAGGTTGCTTTTCAGTTTGATTTGTTGTCATTCTGACGTCGTTAACAGCATTTACTGGTTCTTTGCTACTGATAACTGTCGAATCAGATGAGGAGGAAGAGGACGAACATGCAAACCAGCCGGCACTGGTGCGAGACTTATCAGAGCTAAGACTGGTATTTACGTTTCTACTGCTATGCATTTTTCTATGCAAGATCATAACGTTCTGTCGGACACTGGTAAAATCGCACATGTTGCATTGATAGAAATTCGCCACAGATGCTGACGGTACGCTTATCTCGTTTACAGCACTTGATTGCTTAGCATTAGCTGAATTTGTTCGTGTTCTTGTATTAATCACTGAGTTCGATTTGTTGTTATTTGAGGCATCTCTTGCTTTCGTAGAAGATCTAGTATTAGCGCTACTGGTGGTAGTAGTGCTTGTTTGTTGTGGTGTAAGATTTAAAATTTTTGTAACCGAGTCCTAAAATATTACATAAAATTTATTAAGAAATCCTTCTTTTTTTTTTTTTTTTTTTTTAAACTCGTTTTTGCTACTCACTCCACTTCGTCGCATATAATCAGAGCAATTGTCCGTAGTACCAACGGCGTTCGAATAGGCATCATTAAAACTGCTACGTACTAATGGTTGCCCCAGTATGGCTTTAACAATACTATCCGGACGATCGTTAATTCTCAAAGTGTTATTGTGGCGTATCAATCGCTCAGCAACCTCAACGTCAGCTGGAAATTTTTCCATAAATTTATTGTTCCCATTGTATAAAGCTAAAGCATATATATATATATATATATATATATATAGAGAGAGAGAGAGAGAGAGAGAGAGAAGAGAAGCGAAACATAAATATTCGGCACAAAGCTATTATTTCATTAGTATGCACACTTACAATAACCGCGTTTTATGAATTCATCTTTTTTAATGCACTGATAGTGAAATATTTTTTTAGAACTCCGCACATATTCGCTAGAGTTAAATTTAATTTATATATATTAATATTTTCTTTTTATTATTTAATAATTATATTTAATTATATTTAATATACTTACTAAGTATCCTCGTTAAAGAATTTTACGACACAATATGGCTTTCGCTTTAAATGTTTTACAAGACCTTCCGGTTGCCTATGCGGACCAGTAACTTCGCTTGGCCACCAATTGTTGCCCAATTTAACCCAAACCACATCACCATCCTGATACTCCTTATCATCCGACATGTTGTTGGCACGTTTCTTCGTATTAACGTTTCTCTTCTTTCTCGAAATCTTGACTCTTACTAATATTTCATCATATGGATAAGAAATGCAGCATTATTAGCATAAGGATAGCATTAGCTGCCCATTAATTCTATCAATAACACAATATCATTTATATTAATCATCATGTGAATCTCTACTACTACTTTAGAAGAAAGAACAAATTGCAGCTTTTGTATGTATGTATGTATGTATGTATGTGTGTGTGTGTGTCTTTATATTTAAATAACAAATAAAATCTTTCATGTCTACAAGTTGATGTAACTAACATTATATATATATATATTTTTTTTTTTTTTCTGAGATAAACAAATGATTACAAAACTTGTTTTTTAATTTTAACCCTAGAACAGTGCAGCACCTAAAAAAAGAGGCAAGTTCAATAAAAAAAAAAAAAAAACAAATTCTTTCAAAATAAATTTGAAGTAACATCAGTTATAAACAAAGGTCTTTTCCAATTGGAGCTGACGATTTTTTTTGTGGTATTTTTCCTAAGCATTCATACTCTTCCAAATTTTCATTTCGAAGAACGAACAAAAAAAAAAAAAAAAAGAAAAAAATTTATGCGATTTTGATTATACGACAATATTGCTCGATAAACAGTATGAAAGAAAGCTGGCTACAGCCCATTAGCCTATTAATCTCAATATTAAATTGATGGCATATTTAAAAGAAAAGCTTTGCTTTATTTTTATATGTTAAGTACGGAAAATGTTGCTTTGCTCTGAGAAAATATTAACAGCACCATATCTCACCGTCCATGATATGTAAATAGTGAGCTGTCAAGCAATGAGAGTCAACTGCTTTTTTCTACTTTTGCTTTTTTTTTCTTTGTGTCGATGATATACACTTGAAAACGTATACTTTATACATTATTCCTTTGATGCCAATGAAAATATTCAACAAACAATTTTCAAATTCTTGCTGTTCCTTATAAAAAGTAGAGGACACAATGCGTAGTATTTTTAAATGTACGAAAAAAATAAATAAATAAATAAATAAAATTAAAACTAATGCTTATTACAAACTAGAATATAAAAAATTGATGATAAATCGTTAACGGTATTTAATGCGATTTGCGATAAACCAACAAAATATAAGTAATTGATATTAACAAACACACAAATAATGAACGTTTTCCCACACAATTTGACATTCGAACAATATACAACATATATATATATATGTATGTAATAATATATATATATATATATATATATATATGTATGTAATAAGTCCTGAATTGAATGGAGGAAAAACGCCTAGGCAGTACTTAAGAAAAATGATACATCATTGTTAAGGAGATAATTTATAGAAATATTTTCCCATTACCCACCCAAAGACATTAGCTTCAAATACAATTCGCTTAGTATTGAGATTGGCGAATCGTGCTCCTTTGGAGATTGTGAAACCTGCCTTCTCTTTTATACACATAGGGATAATGAAAAATTAGGAAAGTGTGTGACTAATGGCAGGAGACTTTGTTTCCGTCCAAAAGAAAAAAAAAAAAAAAATTCCACTCACACTATTATTAACCCGTAACGAATGATCGCATTTTTCTTTTCCAATAGACGTACGGAATTTTCATTAAATATAGATTACCTATGAACAGATATGTCCATACAAAATAGAGAAACAATTGTCTATCGACCTCCTTTTTAGCGTGCGCAGCGACCATTGTACCTAACAGATTTGTCGAAATATCACGTCATGCCGCCTGTATGACGATATTCGATTTTTTCTCTTGCATTTAAAATGTCGCCAATAGGTAGCGACCTTCGTTCGCTAAGGGTTAATATATAAATTCAAACGTCATCATATCCACATATTGAAACTGCTAGTCTTACCAACAGCAACGGAAAAAAGAGGCCAAATGAAAAAAAAAAAAAAAGAAGAGAAATTGTAATAATTGCATTGCGAATATTGTCCCATTATATTGTTTCCAAAAATAAAACCTATAAGAACAATTCTATTTAACACTATTTCTCCCGTACGTAAATTTATCATTTTTAATAAGCAAAAGTTTATATTGCTCCTTAATATGAATGATGAAAATTATTTCACTTATTATGATATATAAAAACAAATAAGCAAGTTATATTCGGCAGGGGCCGAATCTCACATACCCACCACTATCTTTTTCGCAACCTATTCTCTAAGCTCTTTTATTTGATACCCATATCGCTAGTGTTATTAAGAAAAAAGTAATCGTGGTGTCCTACCATATTCATATCACTTCAAAATTAACCCATTTTTAGGCGGATAATACATCTTCATTTAAGCGCTGTACTAAAATACTGCTAAACATTCGGTCTTGTTTGCCTTATGATAAATAAGCATAAAATCTCAAAAAAGAGAAAAAACAAATTTGAACCACTTTGTGTGGGCATGGCGGCCATTTTTCCACGTAGGGAATAGAGTGCTTCGTAAAATATATGTGGAAAATATCAGCCTTCTAACTTTCATAATTTCCGAGTAATGAGCAAAAATCAAAAAAAAAAAAAAAAGAGTTGCATTCAGTTGCATTGCAGTTTCACTGCGCACTTCTCTTCTGACCAATTTCGCCCGTTTTCAATACCAACCTGCGTGCAGAAACTGCCAAAGTTTCTACTAAATTCGAAGCCGATATCTTCATTTTTGCGATTAGGAAAGTGCCAAGAATACACACCACGCAGACGGACAGAAATAGTTAAACTCAGACTCAGAATTTTTACGCTGATCAAGAATATATATGTACTTTATAGGATCTCTGAAGTGTGCTTTTGGATGTTACATACATTACGGGAAAGAAACAAAATAAGTATACCCTCATCTTACAGTGGTGGGTATAAAAATGTATAAGTGAATCTCAAAAATATACAATTTTTGAATAATCAAACCGCATTGCCTAGATGAAAGCGTGCCACGTTCATTGTTTTTCTAACAAAACGATCATTTCTCCACTCAACGACGACCAATAGGTGGTAGCGCCATTATTATATTACAAAATGTATCACGAAATAAGGATAAGACTTTATTCTCAATCGATTCAACAGTTAACCATTAAATATTCAATAATAACGAAAAATGCATTTACCTACTTGACCTTGATTAACTACACTATTGTTATCTCATTTGTCTCCTAACCCAGCATGGTGAGTGAAGCAAGAAACAATGCTGACAGTGGTAGCCTTCTGCCCCGGCAACATATAACAAAGAAGGCTATGATTGGATATGACGTTTGGGTGCAAGCGAAGAACTATTTTACTAAGAACTTTCCTTTCCTTTGTTTCCAAACAAATATATATATAAGAAGAATTTTTCATTGCAGTTTCTGTCCCGGAATATGAAACTGAAATCTACCGAGGAGAACTTGTAGCCATAAACGCATCTAGTTGTCA